ACAGCATTACACATTTCAATCAATCTACCATTAATATGTGATGTAAAATACATATTCACAAACTCTGCAGTTGACGATCAGTAAAATGAATAAGAAAATAGTGAAAACTGCTCATTTATAACAGTGATTGTTTTATTGGACTATCAGACCAGAATTTACCTTTTTGGAAATTGCATCTGCATTCATAACAGAATTTATACATCCGTAGTCTGGCTTGTGGTCACTGATTGAAGGACTTTCTTCTTGTAAATATCAAAAAGAAACCACAAAATAATAAAATAGCACTTTTTTTTATGTTTGTATTTTGAAGCCATTGTCCATTCTCAGTTCCTGAATGCAGGTCAGTAGCTATGAAACAGCAAACAACATACCTGCAATGCCAGTTTCCCACCAAGTTTCCAGTGCAAATAAAGAGCCATTCACAAATAATTCAGGATTGTATTCACATCTAATTGTCTGACTATGACATCAGGACTTGATCTAGATCTTAATAAATGATTTAGTGATCAATGTCATATATGACTAAATACTGAAAATTTCAGTACTGAATGTACTGTACTACTGATGATATTCACCTTGCAAACATACTTCATTTCCAGTCAGATACTGAATTGTAAATGATTTATAATATACAATGTATGGCAATATGAATATTATTGTTTTACTTTTTTTGTGATGACAGGTTAAATAAATGAATGGTCACCATATTTTGGTAACTTCTAGGCAACAGCATTTATTAGCTTCACGCAAACCTTTTAGAGTCTTGCAAATGGTCAACTGATAATTTATGTCTTGCAGCAACACTGCTGCCTTATTTTGTATTCTTCACTCAAGATAAAATACTTAATTAGCAGTAAGATCATATATTAATGTTCTACCCAATTATCAGTTCCTTTCCACATAAAATAAAGCCAAATGTATCTTCTTGTGCAGACTAATTTGGTAAAGGAAATGAGCCGAGGAGCAAAATGTTACATAAAAATCACTGTTTAAAAATGTTGTATGTTTTATTGTGGAGCTTTAATGTTACGGTCGACCCACATTAGCCAGTTTCGTGTGAATCATCCCCAACAAGTTATTGTGGCTGTGGGCAAGCAGTGTTCCAGCTGGAGTCCCCAATTCACCAATTCTATTAATGCTAAATGCTGTTCAACCTAATTGCAGTTTGCATAAATGCCACCACTCAGAGACAGACTCATTTAAAGGGCCCCTCTGACAATTCGCAAATTCTGTGGTGCACTGCTGCCAATGGGCAAAGAAAGGATGAATTGTCATTTGTCTTGTTGACTTTCTATCTTCAGTTTGAACTAGAATCAGGGAGGAAGTGAGTGATGGCAAATGGAGTAGTTGTGTATGAGCGGGAGGTACAATGGCAGCGGTGTCTGAGAGCTAGGGGTCTGAAGATTGCTAATGCTAAGGGTGCAATAACGCAGAGTGAAAAGTGTTTTGGTAACTGTCTTCATAACTCTGTAGGCGAGGTTCAGTACCTCAGTCACGCTCAATCTTATGAGGCAATGCCGACTAAGGCTAACCATGGCTCTGTGAGTATGTGTATGTAAATGATTTGTTCTCACAGTGGGGTGGATTTTATGGAGGGACATATATGCCCTCAGAGATAAAAGTTGCCCTGCACATCACTAAATGTGGCTACCCCAGACTGATAACATGCTATTCTAAATAACAAATGTATTTTTAGCCAGCTGGCACATATTAATATTTAGAAGATCAAACCACATTATAACTATACAATGTCTGGTCAAGTTTACAATTTCTTTCAAAATGGGAAGGGGGAGTAGAAGACCAACAAGATGTACCAAATTCTCAGTGATATCAGACGACTTATTCTAGGTTAACTACAATCATTTTAAAATTTTTCAAAGCTATTTTATGATGTAACCCCTTACATATCCTCCAGATATGCACATCCTACAATTTTTGAATAAACAAAAATGTACCTCAATACTGTTACAAATTGTTGAAATTGTAATACAATTGCAAAGCTAATGAGACTTTCACAAGCATTGTTTTAACAAAATAGATATGTATGAACAAAATCAATGTCATTTAAAGATCTCTTCCTTCTGTCCAGAATTCACAACACTCTGTAACTACCCCCTCCTTTTTATCTTCTACTACACTAATTTTCTACAGTACAGCTACTCTCTGGTCATAGTTTCCAGATATCATCAAGCAGCTATCTTTCATCCATTAATCATCACCTCAGACAGGAAACATGGTCAGCATGGACAAGTTGGGCTGAAGAGTCTGTTTCTGTGCTGTATGACTTGTCAAGGCTATGTGATCAATTGCAAACTAATTGTGGGGGAACATTGAGCTGGTTTCCCAACCCCTACTGACTCTGCCAATAGCTGTTGGTGGAAATTGAAGCAAAGACTAAACTTTTAGATTAGACAGAATCATTTTTAAAAATGGGGCATGCTAATGATATATGCATGGGTGCAATATGTTGGCCATAATGGATCTTCAGTGCCAGGGGCAGTATGATTTTGTTCATGTTCAGAAAATGAGGTTTCTGGGGTTGATGTTTGGTGCATTCGACATTCATATGTGTGTTGCACCTTTACCCTAGTAAAATGTGCTACAGTTCTACAAGGAGTGTAAGCACTTCTTCCACTGTCAAGGCAAAAATAAAAGCAGATGATTAACAGCTTAGTCAAAAACATTGGACTTAAGTAGGATCTTAAAAAGGAAATAAAGAGGGAGGCAGAGGTTTGAATACAGTTTTTCAGAGGTTAGGGCCCCAGGGTAGAAGGAGGTACAGTGACAATAGTTGAACAAAAATGTCAGAGATGTTCAAATGCCAGAATTGGAAAAGAGAGATCTAGACATAGTGCAGAATGGGAGAAGGCAAGAGTTAGGGAATGGAGATGTTAATCTAAAGTTTTGCTGGGTTAGCTGAAATTAAATTAGAATGACATCAGGTGAAAACATATGAAACCTGGCGATGATCTAATGGTTAGAAAAGTCACTGATTTTAAAATGTTTCTGTGATGCATACACAGACAATGAGTGAATGAGACTTGGTATGAGCAAATTGGCCACAACACACAGCAACAGCAGGTCAAGAGGTTGTTGGATTGTACTTTCCAACATGTGGTCATCCAATAAACAACAAGAAACATCAGATGCAAAGAAGATTCATGTAGATTTGAAACGTTAACTCTTTCTCTCTCCACTGATGTTGCCAGACATGCTGAGTTTCTCTAGTACTTTGTATTTGCACTAGATATTAAAATACTTATATTGTGGCTTCATATTTAATCATTTTTAAAATACTTTTGCTTCATATTTAGCAGCTGAGTTTGAAGGGTCTCTTATTTAAGCAAGGCACTTCTTGAAAGTCCTGTTTTATGATAACTGCTTATTTCCTGTAGAACCCCTGCCTGGGTTTACGACTTTCAGGATGCAGCATCTATTTGGGAGATTGTTTGGATTTTTCAGTTGTTGGCCAGCCTTGGGAAGGGGAAAAGCTTCCGAGCTCAGCAGTTCTGTTTTTGGAAAATATGTCTTTGTGGGCCCAGTGTGGTATTTAGAATATTGCTCCTGAAAAGTATCCAGAAAAACCTTGAATACCAACACAGCTTATTCAAGAAACATGCTAAAATCTTAGAGACAACTGCTTGTGTTTGGTGACATCCACATTTATGCACCAGAACATCAGACTGACATCTGTCTGAACGTCACACATCTCATAGCTTTTATTTTGCCTTCAAGATCGAAGATTTAAACAAAAAAGTTCTTTTTCTTCTACCAAAGTAAATTACCACAGAAAGAAACCTGTTTTCTTCTCTTCAACCAGTGCGTTAGTGTTGGTTTGTATATTTTGGGTTATTTAGAGGGGTAAACATTTATATTTTCATTAGCTAATTTCATATTGTCATTTAATATTTATAGTTTTTAATATTTTAAATAAATGCAAAATTAGTGTTTTTAAAAAAAGTCAACCAGGTATCACAAGTCTAATAACAAGTTTGCAAGTTTCCATATCTGGAAAAACAGTACAATTTATGTGTCTAGTCCCACTATTCTGTGGGAGACAAAAGACAGTGAACCCCTCCCATCTCAAACATAACACTGTAAGGTAAAGAGTTTGGTTCCATGTGCAAGGTCAGCAATGAAGAGATGAGACTGTAGCAAATCCATCTCCAAACTACAAGAATTCTCCGAACTTGCACTGGATAGAACCGAAATTAAGAATCCTTTCTACCCTCTACTTCAGAACCCACCACCTTCTCAAAAATAATATTATGGACATTCATAATTCAGGTGATAAATGCAAACTGCAAAATGTACTTAAACTACTGAGCTCCATCTCAACAGGCAAGTCCTTTTTCCCAGAATTTCCACAGCCATAGAGGTCAACACACCCACAGACCAGTCTAGCATGCAACTCAATTATGGCAATTAAAAGTGGAGGTGGGGGAAGATTACCTACATTCCTGTATTTTCATGTTCAAACCAAGAAACAGAGACATAAAATAGACAAAACAGACGTGTCAGTACGTAGGTATCATGCACACAAATTGGATGTTAGATAATAAACTCTATTTAGTTTGTCTATTTTTCATATAAAACCCTTTGCAACATAATCTATATACTGCTTCAAATTATTTTCTCTAGTTTGTTTTATTTAATACATAATCCTCAACATTCACACTGTCAGCTTATTCATAGCACTACTATCAATGAAAAACCTCTCCAATGCACGATTCATAGAAGTGCAAGATGACAAAAAGATGTATTGGTATAGATGACTCAAAAATTGGCCAACTACACTCATCTTAAGGAGGGTCTAAAAGCAGCCTAGAAAGGGAGTTTTACGGCAGGAAAGCCAGGTCTCAGAATGAAATAGCTGAAAACACAGCCGCCAATGAAGGGAAAAAGGAGCTGCCAGAGCTGAAAGAAAGCTTTAATGTAGGGCTAGAGGAAAGTGAAGGATTATCAATTACCTTTGATGCAATTGAAAAGGCAAAACTCAATAATAGTTAAAAATGTTAAATATTTAATGAAAGTACATAGATAATGAATTCTGAACATATAACATGCCTTATTCCTTTGCACAGTATTTCAAATTGAGGCAGGCAGGTCAAATAATTTCTCTAAATTCTGGGAGAAATCTAAATAGCACAGTGCATTATTACATTCCAAAGTCAATCTCACTTGCACGAGAAGCATTTTTAAAAAATATTACTTATGCAAAGAAACTAAATTAGGTATGCAGTGACAAATTTCCAAACCATTATACCTACTGTGCTCCATCCAATTCACAAACATTGTTTTTCTTTAATAAATTAGACATTAATTACAAATGGATTATTTCAGAGCATGTATGCATCCAATAACAACTCGTAATTCTACACACATTGGTTAACAGCACCTGCTTACATTTCAAAACATTTCATTACAAGGCATACAATGTACATCAGAAACACTTTTAATGTAAATTCTTCCTATAGGAATAAAAGCTAGTTAAAAGGAAAACACACGCTATAGTTTCACTTTATAACATTTTTACACACAGTTCCTGATTTTTTCCATGTCCATCTCTCAAAAATACAATACATACAGAATGAAATGTACACTACTATCCAAGCAATTTTCTCTCTACAGCTTAAGGAAATCTTCAGTTGCATCATATCACACTAAGTATATCAAAAACAACTTGACTTCAACACATTAGATAGAAAATTCTTAAATCTATCAGGCCCTATAAATATTGGTATACAAAAGTTGTCAGCAATGCCCTTCACAAGCAATCACTGTGCTTTGAAGGCAAAATATTTTAGGCATGATAAAGTTAACAGTTTAAGCAACAAACCAGGTGCACATGAGAAATAATTTCAGTTAATTCTTGGGAAGTAAACATAATAGTTCAAGAACAAAAGCAGATACAATCAAACAAATATCACTCAACTTTGATTATACTATTTCATAACTTAGTGAGGGCTTAGAAATATAAAGCTGCAATTTATATAAAAAGAATACTGAAAGGTGCAGTAACAAATTAACTGACCAATAAGCATGTTCAATCAATTTGTTTGACTTATTTTTGTTTTAACAAGTTAGACTAGCTAAATGGTTACACTTTTGTTGAAAGATAAGTTTAGCACGCCTATGTACTTATACTAAGTAACAGCAATTATAACTAAATCCAATACGCCTTTTATTATATCAAGTACTGCTGGTGGCTATTTCTATACGTATTTGTATACAAATGTTTTGAAAAAACATCCAAAAAAGCAAAGGAGAAATAAGTTTCTTGATAGAATTACTGATTACAGGCATTGCTTACATAATTGCTTTAAAAATCACAGAACAGATTCAAAAGATGAAATAAAGGATAAATGTACATTGCACCAAAGATTCTGCAACAGAAATAATGAAGAATGGACTAAAAATTAGATCTGAGAAATATGTAAATTAAGACAAATGGATAGAAGAGTCGCCACACACTTAATTATTTGATTTTAAACAAAAATAGTGGAAATGAATGTTTAAAAAATTGCTAATATTGTTACATTTTGTGGCTGAACAATCAAAAAAAAAAAAGAGAACAGCAATAATGGCCAGTGTCTTCTATAATAAAGATCTGTATGGCATCACTTATTATTCTGCAATTACACCTAGGCTGCTATGTGGCTATATGTACACAGATATACTGAGGCAGTGCAAGCAGCAAATAACTGTTCCTCGTTTAAAATAAAGCTGCTTCCATTGGTTTAGACTGACACAGAAATTGAAATACAAATCATTATCATTATGCCTAGAACTTGTATACATGAAAGGTAAATGTTACACCAATACTTGTTGTACTTGAATATTTCAGAATACTACTCCTTTTTGTTCCCAATTTCAGGTGGCAGTCCAGGAGAAAAAGGTTTCTTATACCAAAATCTATATGTTCCATACCAGGCAGAAATTCCAAAAGCAGTTCCAATTATTTTATGAGGCATATCATGAAAATACAATGCAGTACAAAAAAACATCCAAATCCATAAGAAAAGCAAGGCATTTAAAGCAATAAACAGTGATTTAATGATTGTTGCTATGGATTTTCCTGGCTTCTGCTCCACTTTCTGAAGTTCATTCATGACAGCTATTTCTTCTGTCATAATCAGTACACAGTACGACAATAAGAAGGAGTGTCCAGAGATGTCAAAGCCAAGCCACAAGTGGCCATTTTTCTTGCAAGTGTATAGGTTGTCAAATTGATGGAGAACGGTCATATTTTGGGATTCGTAGCATTCACCTGTGAAATTTTCAATAATGTGAAAGGTCCTTGTGCTAAGAAACCAAATACCAGTTCCTACCACACATGAAGTTACACGACGTACTGCAAACAGAACATCCCTTTGAAGAAAGTAATTTGAAGTGAAAATGAAAGGAAGCAGCAGGCCCACGGTCCAACCCCATGAAAACTTTACAAAGTACCTGTAAAAAAAAGTGCATTACGTGAACAATCCCTCATTTTCAATGCAGGGCTTTTGATAGCAATAAGTACTGAAGTTTTTCCGTTAATAAAATATTTCTTATAAACCAGGTTATCCCATTTACTCTACAGAATAATTCAAATCTTCCCTGTAATTTTTTAAGTTACTCAAGTGTTAATAGTTCTCTCTAAAACATTAAAACGGAAGGTTAATAAATTGAAGAGAAAGTTTAATAAAATTATTTCAATATAAATATATGGAACATGAAATACTCCATCACAAACCTACTGAAGCAAAATTTGTAAACACTTTTAACAAGAGAGTTATAGAATTATACAGCACAGAAACAAACCCTTCAGTCCAACTCGTCCATGCTGACTAAATATCCGAAACTGATCTGGTCCCATTTGCCATCATTTGGCCCGTATCCCTCAAAACCCTTCATATTCATGGACCCATCGAGATGCTTTTTCAATGTTGTAATTGTACCCGTCTCCGCCACTTGTTCTGGCAGCTCATTCCATACACGCACCACCCTCTGCATGGAAAAGATGCCACCCAGGTCTTCTTAAATCTTTCCCCTCTCACCTTAAACCTATGCCCTCTAGTTTTGGACTCCCCTATCCCTGGGGTAAAGACCTTGGCTATTCACCTCATCCATGCCCCTCATGATTTGTAAACCTCAACAAACCTCTGCCTCCGACACTCCAGGGAAAAATGCCCCAGTCTAGAACTCAAATCCTCCAGTCTCGGCGACGTCCTTGTAAATCTTTCCTCCACACTCTTAAGTTTAAAAATATCCTTCCAACAGAAGGGAGACCGAGAACTGTTCGCAGTATACTAAAAGTGGCCTCATCAATGTCCTGTACAGCCGCAACATGATATCCCAACTCCTATACTCAATGCACTGACCAGTGAAGGCCAACGTGCCAAACACTACCTTCACCACCCTGTCTACATTTGACTCCACTTTCAAGGAACAATGCATCTGCACCGCTAGGTGGCTTTGGCCTGCAACACTCCCCAGGGCCCTACCATTAAAATGTATAAATCCTGCCCTGATTTGCCTTAGCAAAATGCAACACCTCATTTATCGAAATTAAAATCCATCTTCCACTCCTTGACCCATTGGCCCATCTGATCAAGATCCCATTGTACTGGGATAATCTGGCTATTTAGTAAAGAGAAATGGTCAAAAGTATAGAAAGCATGTGGCGCAGAGGAAATAGACTTGCACTGATCAAAGAAAAACACTAGTCCAGAATAAAGGATTACATGACTTTTGTGTTGATTTTATGCAGTCAAGCCTATAAAATCAATTTCTGAGAAGTCATTATTTTACTAACTGAGTGGACTGTAAAGCATTGATTATTATTCATCTAATAATGTTCAGGTGCTAGTCCAATCTGGTTTCCTTCGGTGCCATAACTTGTCAATAATATTCTGCACAATAAAATTACGTTAGGGCTTCAATATGAGCAGTCACAGGAGTCTGCTATCCATCTCAATGTAACTGTCTCTGTCCTAAAGCACAATGTCCTGTCACTTGTTTGGCGACAATGCACAACAAAAATGAACACTGCCAAAGTGGCTAAAAATGCTGTGAAATCTTGCAGAAAGGGGATGTGCTGGAGAAACTCAGCAGGTCTTGCAGCATCTGTGGGGACAGAAACAAAAGACATTGGCTTCAATTTAAGAACAGTCACATTCAACTCGAAAGGTTACCTGTTTAGCCGCACAGATGCGACTAGACTTGCTGCATATTTTCAGCACATTTTGTTATGATCACAAATTATTAAAAATGTTGGATTTAATAAGTATCTTAAAGGATGAGAAGGTGATTAGGGATATAATAGTTTACAAACAGAATTCCAATTTACAGGTCTAAAGAAATGGTAAAAGGTAGGGTAAAAGTCACAAAGCCAGTAATAGGTTGGGGTGTTCATTGGTGGGGGGAGGTTAGAGTTGTAGTTTAGTAGAAGATTTGAGATAAAGGTGGGCAAGGTTTGGAGAGATCTAAACAGAGACAAGAACTTTAAATTCAAAATGTTGGGAGATAGACGTCAATGCAGGTTAACAAAGACAAGTGATGAGGAGAGTCAGTTGAGTAGCAAATGAAAACCAGAAGAACTGCAGATGCTGTAAATCAGAAACAAAAACAAAAATTGCTGGGAAAAGCTCAAAGTCTGGCAGCATCTGTAGAGAGAAATCACAGTTAATATTACAGGTTGAGCGACCCTTCCTCAGAATACTTATTTGCAGAATTTTGAATGAGTTGATTTTCATGAGGATGGGAAACAGACTGATCGGTGATAGCACTCAGTCAATGAAGACTGGAGATGATATAAACATAAGGTGTCAGCAGCAGAGAGAAAGTTAGAAGGCCAAAAATTGGGCCAAGTAACCTAGTTCAAACAAGGTCAACTTTGCAATGTTGTGGATATGAGGAGAAGAAATTCAGCTGTGACTCACAAAACACCATAAGGTTATGAACAGCTTCATTTAACACAAGAAGTGGTTGGGAAAGGGGACAGAATCATTGACAATAGGAATGGAGTTTGAGAGATTGAAGAGTTGTCTCCAGTCTTGATACTTAACAAAGAATTGCTTCCCATAAAAACCAGGTGGTCATTTAAACAATAAAGAACCAAAGTAGTGCAGAGTTCAAGATACGTGGAGAGAAGCAGAGCTGGACATCTTCAGCTTATAAATGGAAAATGATCCCACTATGCTGAAGATATTGCCAGAGAGGACTGTAAATGAGGAACTAGAAATAGCCAAAGACACATCCTTAAAATACTGCTGAGGCAACAGTGCAGGAATATAGAAGGAATCAATTATTGGAGATGGCCTGCTTACAAACAGATGAGCATGACTGGAACAAAAGAAGAGTGTCAATGAGCTAAACAACAGAAATGCCTCAGAAGATGGATATTGTAGCTAATCATAATCAAAGGCTGCCATAAGTCGGTGATAAGCAGGGAGAATACATCATGTTTGATCACTGTAGTGTCATCATTTGATAATGATTAGGGTGGATCCAGCACTCTGACACAGACAGATGTTGGAATTGAGAAATTCAGAGAGTTGGACAGAGACTTGACAAGTAATGTGTTTTGGAGTGGTTTGCAAGAACTGAAGGGTAATTAGTAGCTATTTTTTGAGAAAGTATGAAGACTTTTTAAAGGGATGGAGTTAAAGTACCCAAGGAGATGCATTCCATTTACAATGTGAACTACCATTGACGTCAGGAATGGAAGTTAAATGATCATAATGCTTCTCCACTCAGAAAATCCTCATCACCCACTGCTTTGTCAAAGCTCTTGGCACCTGTTCCACCAACACCTTCTTTGGCTCAGTATCAATTTAGGTCTGATTACACTCAGGAAGTATATTAACACCATAAAATGTCTTAAAGTTGCTGTACAAATAAAAGTTGTTGAATGCATATGATACAACTAAGTCCAGGGGGGAGAATAAAGACATTGCGTACTGAAACCTGTTCTGACAGTGCAAATATGAATGAATCAAATGACATCAAACAAGGCATTAGAAACAATGACGGCTCACCATGCTCAGTCAAACATGCAAAACCTCTTTACTAATATCAGGGAATCTGCACCAGAATTGGACAGCTGGCCCTTACCTGACAATCAGACTCACCATAACATGCTTTGAAGACAGTTGTCCCACAATCCTCCATCACCATTCTTAGTTGTTTCCTGTTTCACTGGCAGGATGAGCCACTGCAGTTGGTAGCACAGTGGGGTATGATTGGTAGGGAAGAGTTGTCCCAAGAACCTCAACATGGAATCTGACCCCATGATGTTTCATGGCATAAAAAATGGACAAGGACAGCCTCTACTGAACAATCCTTGGAAAAGGCATTCAAGGTAACGAGGGGAAAAAAAAAAAGTACTTTAGGTAAGGGCCTTCAATGTCAATCAGAAGTGGTGCAGTAGCATGATGACTGACGACCCTGCTAAAGTCTTGAAGACTTATCCACCAGAGAGAACCCATGGCAACTGCTGAGATAACCGATGGGAGGGAGAAATGTACTAGGCCTTCTCCTCACCAATGTGCCTGTCACAGCTGCAACTGTCCATGACAATACTGGGCAGAATGACTACCACACAGCCCATGCAGAAACAAGCCCGGATCTCACATTGAGAGCACTGCTCATCATATTGTGTGGCACTTTCATTGTATTAAGTGGGTCAAATTCAGAACAGACCTAACAGACTGGAATTCTTGAGGCACTATTGGCCATCAGCTGCAGCTGAATTTTATTCAGCAGTCTGTAAGCTCATCTTCTAACATATTCCTCACTCTTCCATTACCAACACACCTGGGGCTCAGTACTGGTTCAATGAGACGTGCAGGAGAACACGCGAGGAACAGAACTAGGCATTGCTAAAAATGAAGCATCAATTCTGGTGAAGCTACACATAGGACTATATTGATTGACTGATTGATTGATTTTATTGTCATGTGTACCAAAACAGTGAGAAGTTTTGTTTATGAGCAGTACAGGCAGATCACAGCAAGCAAAGGATGCACAGATCAAAAAGACTTAGGAGGCATACAGACTACATTGCCAGTTACATTATTGAGGCTGATAATGGCCAGAAAGAAACTGTAACTGAACCTGCTTGTGTGTGTATTCAGGCTTCTGTATCTTTTGCCTGATGGAAGAGGTTGTAGGAGGTCATTACCAGCGCACCATGGGTCTTTGACGGTGTTGGCCGTCTTACTTCGGCAGCGAGCCACATAAATAGAGTCCATGGATGGAAGGTTGGCTTCCGTGATGGTCTGGGCTGTGCACAGCATCTTCTGTAGTTTTTTATGGTCCTGGGCAGAGCAATTGCCATACCAGGATGTTATGCACCCAGACAGTGTGCTTTCAATAGTGCATCTGTAGAAGTTGGTGAGGGACTTTACGGACATGCCAAATTTCCTGAGCTACCCGAGGAAGAAGAGGCGTTGATGTGCCTTCTTAAC